TTTGGTTCCAACTGTTGTCTTCTTAAAACTCACACAAAAAAAAAAAAAAAAAAAAAAAACAGGAAATATGATCATAAATACGGATGGGTTTGAAAAAGTACATATTTTATTCACAGATGATTGCATGTGAATCAGTATTTTGTTAGCTTGTGCAAGTATGCATAAGACTCCTACACCTGTAGAAAATGTCACCTTATTTTCTGAAGACAAACTCTCTCCAAAGACAAACATTTATGGATAAAATTCAACAGTTCAGATAATTCTAAAACAGTTTTCTAGTGTCAGTCTTGGGAGATCCCCTTCTCTTGTCTCTGTAGACGTCTCATCTCTGTCCCCATCCTGTTTTTTAGTGGCATCTGTTYCAACCTGCCAGACAAGAGAAAAATAAGGAGAGGGAGGGATGAAGAGAACTTCATTGCAAGCAAATTAATTTCTCATCCACGCCTCCAGAGCTYATACCAGCTTGTTCAATAGCTGCCACGGCCGCCGCCGCTGCTGCGTGTCTGCTGAGTCGGAGTCTCATACATAATGCATCAGGTTTAATTGCAAACCCAGAAACTAATGACTTTGGACTGGTTAACAGCAGGGGAGCCATACATCTCGAGCAAACTGAATGAAAAATCAGCTCAGAGGAAAGGGGGGGAAAAAAGCCTAGCCCCTAATTGATGAATAATTGAAACAGCGAGCTACAGGGCATAATTGTGACATTTTGTTTCAATCAATTTCCAAGTGGTGTGGGCGAAAGTGCACTTAAAGGGAAAAGGCAATGACAATGAATGTGAAAGAAAGCGAGAGATGGATAGAGGGAGATGATGGTGATGGAAATGGACGTGTCTTCAGTCTCTGAAATGACATTTACTGGGGCAAAAGACTGGATAAAGTGACTTTCCTCTATCTACCTCTTATTTGTTCACAAACTTCTTATATGCTGTTATTAAGTCTCATCTTCATCACTGCAAATGGATTTTTTTCTTATAAAATAGGACACCCCAACCCCACCCACCTTAACAGCAAAGATGCCCAAAGGGGGCCTGCAGGCCAAAACTGGACTTCCAATTCATTTGATTTAGAGATTATATTTAAACACACGTGTAGATTWGCACACTTTACAWRACCACAGATACTCATATTTTATCMGTTTATTAAATGTCCCATGAGCCTTTGCTGACCGAGCATATGTCAAATTTTCTCCAAATGCATGGGCTAATAATAAAAAATATATATGGTCCACCTGCTGGCTGGCTGCTTGCCTAACCATAAGAAACAAAAAAGACTTTACATAAAAAGGATTTGCATGTCCTGTATTATATTATTGCTTTTTAACCGCAGCACTCAGATTTCCATTTTGGCCCTCTCAGAAAAAAAGTTTGGCCACTTCTGCTCTAAAGTTTTCTTCTAGTTGCCAGATATTTCTGTAGGATTTAGAGGCKAACTTAGATTGAGTGACTTGTGTCAAACGCAGCCAATATATTCTTAGCATTTTAAAGTTCTTGCATGCCATTTTACTGACGACCAAACAAAATAGATTTGTGCGTTTGTTGAATTTTGGAAAAAATTGTTTTCAAACAAAATAAGTCATAACCTCAGCAATTATTGTCCTCTTTTGTTAATACTGACTCTACTTTTTGTCTCGTTAAAAGGAAGAATTTCACATTAAGTTTGGAGAGATATCCAAGTACACCTCGCTGTAGCGAACAGTAAGGGGCRGGGTCGGGTCCGATGTGTCAGACCCATTCCATATTTGGAAGTTACCATACCATATTTGGATGTAGCGTCATTGCACTCCGGAAATGAAGGGGGCACCATTTCCTATACCAGGTTAACCTGAGACATTAAACCTCTGGGGCTATCTTTTAGASTTTGAGGTCAGTGGGATGGATAGAAATGAAWSRTTAAGGGTTAACCTGAGGTTTTAAATTTGTGGGGTTAATATGAGGTCATTTMATGYTACTTCCAAATWTAGTATGTGTCTGACACATYRGACCCGACCCCGCCCCTTACTGTTTGCTGCAGCGAGGTGTCTCTCGAGAAATCAGCTTAGGCAAAAATGGATGTTTGTTACATTTTTACCTCACTTGACAAACGGTCCAAGACAGACCCTGGCATCAACCAGCCTGTTCTTCTAKAATTAAAAGTCTTCATACAGTTGTAAATTGTCTATAAGTTTTCTTCTGTAACTCTAGAATTCATGTTGTGTGAGGTTTGCAGGAGAGATCGACCCAGGGGACAGGCAAAAATCCAGAGCTTCAAACAAAAGGTATTTATTAAAGAAAAAGGCTGGCGAGGCAGCTCAAACATACTCACAAAATAATTTCTCAGGAAACAAGAACACGAGGACACACTGACAGCGAAGTGAAGACAAGATGGCGACTAAACAAGGGACTGATTGGAAACACAGAGGTAGGTGGAAATACAGAAAYGCTAGAAAAACCAATGAAGAATAAACACAGACTAGTAGTTATAAGTGATTTGCAGATGAGCTTTCCAAAAATTACTTACTCTAATCCTTCTCATATATGTATGTGAAGTGAAATTTCAGCAGCTGAACCTAACTGCACTGTAGCAGTTTTGGTTGGGGGCGAGTTTGTGAGCATTGGGGATAAA